TGAAGACAACCAGTCATGTTTGATTGCAGCATGCATCTGGCTAGAATCTGGACAGGAAGCTTCCTGAGCCATTTTGGCCAACAGCGTGAACCATAGAATTCTGAATATTTAAATGGAAAATAGCTAAATAGCAGATAGAGAGTGGAATCTGGGGCTACGTTCATCACAGACAAGCCCTGCCAGCTGCAGCAGAGGGCTACTGAGAGTTAGAAATGCCACCGATGAAATAAGAAATAGATCCAGACTTTTGTCCCCAAAGACAATAGGCCTTATAAACTGGAGAGAGGTCGTTCTGGCCCCATCGTAATTGCTGAGCTGATGGAAGGGAATAAAAAGAAACAGATCATGGTGCATGAGCAAAGCACCACAGTATTGCTGCATATTGTGAGTGCTTGGACATTTTGTTCTGAAGCTGGAATAAACCATAACCAAACAGATAATTTCAGAGCCTGCATACTGAATAACAGCTTGAGAAATGATGCAAGTCAGTTGAAATATGACAGTCCAAATCTTCCAGCAGCTGCTATCACGTTCCCTAAACAGCAGACAAAAAAGACACTGCACATGCCTTCTGCAAAACATACACAAACAAATTTTCTTGCAAGCACAAACAGACACAAAGGCTTTTGTAGATTTGTGAAGCCTTGCATGCAGAAATCTCTGCAATGTGACAAACTGCAGGGTCTCCTGTAAATCCCTCTACTCCCTCTCTGCAGGACACTGCTACTTTTCAACTAAACAACTTCAACTTCAGACTTAGGCTTTTTTTTTTTTTTCCCCCAATTTTCTTAAGTCCAGGAACCATCTGTAATTTCTTCATAAAATACAGGAGAACCAGAAACCACTGTGAAGTGTTTCTGGGTAGAGAGGTTAACACTGAGCCTGGGTAGCACACTCTGTGTGTCTTTGCATGCTTTCCTTTATGGACCTTCCCCTGTCCTTCGAGAGGAATGTGGAGGCAATGGCGCATCTAAGCATCACTAATAGAGTGTAACTAGAGTAGCAGGAGAGTCCTTTCCTTTTAAAAAATGTTACTCCCAGAGCAAGCTAGTGGGACCTCAGGGCTGCGTTTATCACAGGCTAACCCTGCCAGCTGCAGCAGGAGTTGTCTAGTGAGGGCTAGAGATGCCGTGAATAAAATAAGAAATGGCTCCAAACTTTTGCCTCAAACCACAGAACAGACTTGAAATCTTTCCCTCATTTTGCAAAACTTTAATGCATTGATATCTACAAAACTAATTTTAGAGCTAAATAGAAGACAAAGAACTAAAGTAAAGTCATCAACAGGATGAAAGTAATAGAAAATTCTGTCTGTTTAATTGGGATTTGTCTTACTCAGAATATAACATGGAGTTTTAGTTTACATGCCTAAAATGTATCAGACAACATAACACATGGCAAAATAACTTCTGTGGAATCAAAGCAAAATTTGGGCAGCATAAATGTCAGACAAAGATTTTAAGATATCCTTAATGTAGCTAATTACACTCTGATTTTTCTGAAAGAAATACAGAATTTTTGCCTTTTTGTCACATTCTATCAATCCAATCACTGCTGAGGTCTTTATAAAATGCCAAAGGATTCTGACCTTCCTATGAGATATTTGGAGACTCATGAAACATTTGATAGAAGAAATACTCCCATGTAACATTCTGCAGCTTGAGCATTTGCACACACAAATAGGCAGGAATGCAAGATGCACAATTTTCCCATTAATTTAGACTGTTTCCCAAGAGAAATGTATTGAAAATACATTCATTTCCAAGTCTTGTGAGATTAGGCAAATGTAAATAATGCCAGTTTTTATTGAAAAGAATTGCATTCTTTGTCTTGCTCCTAGTCCAATACGGGGATTAACAGACAAAATAATAAAAACAGCAAAACTAATAAGGGGCAGTCAGCAGTTCCATATTGCTGGGATGAGTGAAATTTGTGCCAAGCAATATTTTGCATTCTTCCCCAAATCTAGATGGTCTGATAGTCTAAATTCATACTCACATACACCAAATGCCAAAAAAACCCACTTTTGTTTCAACTGAGAATCAAGACACAGAAGGGATTAAAGACCAATGAATTCCAGACTGTAGAACAAGGGAAAACATTGCCTAGCAGATTCTGCTTTTCTTGCTGTTGTTGGAGTAAATTCCAGACTCCTATCAGCTTTGGGTTTTGGGAGATCTTACTGGGAAAATCAAGGGCTCAGGCTTCAACAAAATGTGGGTATTTGTCCTTGTGTAAAACACAGTCTCATTGCCTCAAGAACGCTGTTCACCATTTCCAGTTACAGCCTCCTTCTGAACTACAGATTCAAACAGCATCACATCCTCTCTTTAATACCTTGACCTGGCACCGAAATTCCCTATGTGTCAGAAGACAGGGGTGTATTTAGAGCATGGGCTTTGAGCAGACTGTGTGGTACAGAAGAGATGTTTAATCTTCCAAGCCCTTCCCCTTTCCTCATGTCCCATCCTGATTCACGGGTTGGGTATAATAAGCTACAACTTAACAACTTTGTTGTTGAAGTTGACCTTTATCTTGCAGCCCTAATGAAGTCTTTTGATGTGCTCCTAAGATACACAGCCTCCTTTTTAGCATTCTGTTTGCCTTGCCTCCTTTAACCGGTGGGCTCACAGAGAACGTAAGTTTTCATACAATGCCTCCCTTGGGTGCCAATTGTTCTTTTCTCCCATAGTTGCCCTTGAGTCATGCCGTTCTGAAACATCACCAGCCCACAAGCAGCCTGACGGTGGGAAATTAGGACAGCATGTCTTTCACACCAATGATGAGCACACACATTTGGCCCTACATTATGATCACCACCGACAGGAGAAATACGGAAGCGGAGTGGGTAGAAAGAGATGAGGCTTGTGTATGCTGGGGAGATAATTAGGTAAAATACAATGGAGAGGGAACTACTGGTGTGACAGATAATGTGGAATCAAACTGCCACCCGAGCCCTTTGCGGTTCAATCCACTCCTCCTGAAAGCAGCTGCTCTTAGCAAGAGTTTGAAAACCTTCCCCAGAAAACCAGGCATGTGTTCTCTATTAGTGATTTGCATTTAAAAAAAAAAAAAAAAAAAGTGATTGGGAGCTACATACCCCGTAGGCGCACTGAGCAAATTGGCCAGCCTAATTATTATTTTTTGGTATGTCTAATTAAATAGACAAAAGGCTCTCCCTTCACTCCCGCTGTCGGCACGAGCTCCACTGGAATGTGCATAATGTCCCCTCATTTGCCCAGGCAGCTGAGCCTTTCCCTTTTCCCCTAGGAGATCTGCACTGACAACTGCCCATGGTATTTACACACACCTTACTAAGACATGGAGCCAGATCTTCAGAGGGGAAGGAAAAGGGGGCATTGACCCTGTTCTGTTAAAAACCACTGGAAGATGCTGCCTTGTGTGACATGCTTTGTTGCAGATTAGAAAAGTGCTGTGTCCCTTGATAGCAGAACTTGCCACTGCAGAGCCTGTTGAATGCTTTCTACACACTGCTAGCCAAACTCCCCTGAATTTACTTTATGGCGACTCCAGAAGTGCCATATTTATCCCTGGACTTTCGGGCACTTTTCCAGTATTCAGCTCTTGCCCTGCTCTGTAATTACACGGCACCACAACTCTTCCTTACAGAGCCTCTGCCAACCTGCTGGTTTCACTACTCCGTAATACCAGCCCTTTAACTACGAGCTGTGTACAAAGTCTTCCAATGACTTGAGTCACTGGAGAGTTTCAGCCTCACACTGATGCAATCAAAGCCTCTGGAATCCAAAGCTTTCAACTGAAAAAGAACACAATTTCAGGGCCTTTTGTCTGCAGGACATTTTGCTCCTTTTAAGTAGCTCGAGCTGGGGAATTTCCACTAATGCCAACACAAAGATAGTAGTCACATAAATGAAGAAAAGTTTATGTCCATGTTGAAAATTAAAGAGTTTTCATACAACTCAGGGCCAGATCATCACTACATGACAAAATCTATTCCCATGTTTCTATGATACCTAAACACTACTGCTTTGACTGCATATATTGACAAAAGCCTCTAGTTTGTGTTGCTTTTTTTTTTTTTTCAGATAGGTATAAAGAAAGAATGCCATTATATATATATATATATATATATAAATAATACTTATATATTTATGTTTATATATATATATACATAAATATGCAAATTCAAGAAAATAGAGTGCAAACTTGTCCTGCATAGCTGATGATGTTACCCATTCTTAGTGAGCCCTGTATTTGATCTGACAAACGGACCCCTACCAAACAAGTATGCTGTAGTATCACAAAATCAGTTGTGAGAGAAAACTTGTCAGAAAGAAACAGAAAGAAACAGAAACCTGTCAGAAAGAAAACCTGTCAGAGGAAACACCTTATCACCAGTGATCAATTGAATGGTCACTTAGCAAAGCCTTCCAAATCCACCATGCAGGATGGAAAAGAGAAAGACCAGCTCCTGACTCCAGCTACACCTGTACAAATCCCGAATAACTCCCTCTTTCTGAGAGAAGTCTTCAGCTTCCACAACATGTTTATCCACATAAGCTGATGCAGGTGTAGGAAACTCTTAACAATTTACCTTGTCCAAGACCAGAGTTGTTTCAGTTCAAGGAGAAACAACATGGTCAGATAAATCGTAAAATGTCTGCTTTATCCTAACCACATTAAACACCTCTGCAGCTCAGCAGAACACAGGTCTGAAAAACCTATGTTGCCGTCATTGCTGTTAAACTTTGTTAAGTCAGTGCCTGATGCTTCACTTCTTAACAAGGCAGTTATTTGTTTCCCAGGCAATCTCTGGCACCTGCCTGCCTTTTAAAATCAAATAATAATTGAATATGAGGAAAGCGAGACGAAGTAAAGGAGATTTAATAAAGAGAATCTTTGCTGCAGAGGGAATTTCTTTGGCAGTGATTACGTTACTAATTGATCAGCACATTGCCTGAGAGAAGCCAGAGACAACAATTATACTTAGCACTGTAGCTGAAAGCAATGCAGTCAACTACCTCCTCGGCTTTCGCTGTCCGCTGGTTTCACCTGGATCGGTCTATTCATCTGTAAGAGAAAACGAAGAGAGACAGATATTTAACAATGGAATCGAGCATTCATATATAGAATCATGCATCATAGCAAGCACAAGAATACACTCTCTGAGGAGGGAAAAAAGCAATTAGTAAGTAAAGAAGTGACCACAGAGCACATGCTGCTTGGACAGCTTCTTGGTCTGAGGTAATTCAGTGCCACCCCATTTACCTGACAGGGGCTCTGCTGAATCACATCAGCAGAAAGGTCTGACTCATTTCACTTGGGTTATGAAATTTTAAACGTAACGTTTTAAATTTCTAATAGTTTCTTCTGAAAAAGCTACTGTGTCAGAACAGAAGTGCTTTGTCAGAACAACAGGTTCAGTAAAACTTTAATTGCAAAGGTTTCTTGTGATGGGTATGGTGAAAAGATAATTGAAAAGTAAATTTCACCTCAACCATTGGCTTAGGAGGAGCTTTGACTATGACTATCATCAATATAGGGGAACGGTACTTGGATCTAGTTTGCCCATGCCATAGAAGTGCTGGCCATTGAGACTTTCTTCTGAGGACAGGCACAGCAAATTAGTCAAAACCTCCCTCTCCCTCTTTTTTCAAATGTGTTTTTCCTTTCTTACATCAGAACATATGCACATATACAAATCTTGCCATTGTGCTGAAAACAAGATTTTTGTTCTCTAACTTATCCCTGTTGCTCTGTTCCTGTAAGAAAAACACTGACAACCAGCACTATCTCCAGCGTTCAGGGAGGTGCAGAGCACAGCAGGCTTCTCAGCCACTTTGACCCACAAAGCTCCTGCCTGGCCACTGGGGCCTATCATGTTGCCTGGGAGCTGAGATCTCAGCCCAGGCTGGGGGACACAGCTGCCTCTTTCCCCTCTGCTGGCGCAGTCTGTAGCAAGGCTGAGCATATTCCGAGAGACACACAAACAGCACAGACAGACAGGACACCGACATGGTCGGTCACACCAGCTGCCAGCCAAGTGCTGCCTTCAGCCGTGCTTGCTCACAGGACTCATGTAAACACAGACACAGATGGTCGAGTCCCCTTCCTCCTTTATGGTGCTGGGGTCAGAAGGTCACTGGTGCAGGCATACGGTTAGTGTGACTGGCCAGGTTTGGTTCCGATCACTGCCTCTCCTATTATCTTTTACCACATTGAAAAAGGTCCATCAGAGCTACACAGTCTCAGGAGAAGTGGAAGTGGATGTTCATAAGCATCCTTGTTCTAAGTGCCTATCTCAATGTCTGATGCAAGAGATGAGGATATTCCTCTGCTATTAACTGGGGATGCAGACTGGATCAGAAACAGCCAAGATTTCCATCTGAAAGCCCTTCCCTGACTCTTCCTCCACGCCATAGAAACATGGCAATGGGAATCTGCCAACCCACTGCTTCCCAATAAAGTCAGATCAAAAATTGGCTAAGTGTCACCGGATGCCTTCTCATACCACAAAAGAAAACAAACAAATAGAAAAAAAAAAAAAAAAAAAAAAAAGAGGCAGATGGGGGTTAAACAGAATGGAAACTCCCACTGGGATCCCATGTTAGTTGCAGTAGGCCCAGTAAAGCTGTCCTGGCTTCCAGGTAGAGGGCAGAGGTGCTCAGAAGTGTACTATGTCTTGACTGTAAAATACATTAACTATAGCCACCTCTGTGCTCTCTCAGAGTAGGGAGGTGTAAGAGGAAGGGTCCTGATGGAGCTTTGTGGGGGAGTCTGGGTTTGGTCTGAAAATGCAGGGATGACAATTTTTCTTCCTAATTTTTCTCTGTCTGAAGTAGGCATAGATCTGAATTATTCTCTTTTCTCTGGAAAACACTGGAAACACCAATTTTGTACCAGCTATCATTGCAACAAAAGACTTGCAATCTTTTTAGCTGTGATGTCTGTATCTAGGCAGTACTACTATGTAACACACAAAATATCTTATTATTCCAGTGTCTCTATGTTTCTCTTCCAGTCTTTTTACTACCTTGGAATGCAGTAGAGGTGATTTTGCCTCTCTGTTCTTTGTGGCTAAATGTAGCTGGCCAACAAATCTGTTTCCTTTTTCTTCTTTGGTATTTTTTTTCCCCCTCATTTCCTTCTTTTTTCTTTTTTTTTTTCTTTTCTTTCTTTCTTTCTTTTTTTTTTTTTTTTCTTGAAACTAGTTCATAATCATTTAGATTTATTCTAATTGCTCTGAACACATATTTGGTAATAAAAAGTCATCAAACTGGCTGACAAGTAGGTTAAGATGATGGAGAGCCTCGCAGATCCTTCTGCATTGTTGTCTCGAGAGGAAAATGTACTTAGCCATAAACTGACTACAGTTAGAATCACACTTGGAAAAAGATGGATCAGTGGCTTCAGGTACTACTGAGCAAATTCTACTCTTCTATATGCCAGCATCATCTAGAAAATCCAGGCAGTTTAAGTGCTACAAACTACAAAGTACTTGGTAAACCTCACATCAGCTCCTGATTCTGCAACTATAAAGGTCTGTCACACACACACACAACTATCACAAGATATTAGCAGAGCCAGAAGCAATGTATTTGTCATCAGCAGGATGGACATCCTGCCATAGCTCTCTTGTTACCATACTTGAGCACCTAGCTGTTGGAGGCACTTAAAGATCTATTAAACATATGAGGTCCCTGCTGCTCATTCGAAGACAGTGAGAACTTGCATTCCAGACAGTTGGAAAGAAAAGTGGTCACACAAGGTAGGAATTTGTAGGAGGTGTGCTAACAGCCACAAAAATCCCCACTGAATTCAAGTGATCAGCCTTTGGAACAACTCTTCCTACTTGTGAAGAACTGGATGTGGTCAGTTCACAAAAGTCAGATGAGAACATCAAGTTTTTTAGCAAAATGAGAGAAAGCAATATTTAGGTAAACTGATAAATAAAGGGCTAGTGTCATTTAATGTGCACTCTGATTTATATACTTTATAACAGACAATTTCTTTATAGACCAAAGAGAAAGTATTGTATGCCCTTATGTAGAGCCCATAATACAAAATGAGACCATCTTGACATGAAAGATACCCATTATAGGGAGAAACACTAAGAGGAAAATAATTAAGTTTCCTCCCTCCATCGATAGAACTTTCTTTCTTCTCCCTCTTTTCTTTTTTCTTTCCTTACACAGATACCATGGGAGCAGGCAGATGGCATGGGGAACAGGGAAAAACTAAGTGGAGAAATAAAATGTACTTTCCCCCATCTGGAAAGCACATGCTTAGAAAAGCATTCAGAGGTTCAAGCTCTCTGCTTATTCTTCAGCTGTGAACTGTCATTGTGCAAAGAAACAAATTTTTTTACTCCAAACTACAATCCTCTGAAAAGTGTTTTCAGGAATAATGTTATGTATATCTCTAACGTCTTGTCTTGGTGGATCATGGGAGTGTGTCAGATGGAAGAACAGTCCTACAGAACTCAACTGGGCTCACAACAGGAGGGAAATATTGGAGTAAATGAGATTGTATAATGTCATTTCTGCTTTGAACTAGAAAAGTCAGTAACCTCAAATTACTGTTTTCAGTTCCCTTTTGAGGGAAGAACTCAGGTCAGTACACTAGAGGTGGACAACACCCCCTTGGTGAGGATGCCCCTCCCTGAAATTGTGAGGAGAACTTGAACCTAGAATTGGTAAAATTGCTTTAGAGAGAGTCAGCACATGAAGCCTTAAAAACATGTCACGGTGCCCTAAAGCTCAGGAAATCCAAGACAGCTATTACTGTCTACCAATGAAACTTCTCTTTTACATCTTTAAATGCCTCCAGTGTCATGAAATATGTGTGCCAGTAGCTGCCAATACAGTCATTACAGTCATACTGCCAATTACATATTTCACATAAGCCTTCCTGCAGGAACGTGTAGTTTTCATCAGAAGAACACCAACCAGACAAAGAAGAGGAAGAAACATCAGATTTGAGGAAAACAGAAAGGTGCTAATACCAGTGCCAATCAGCAAATCTGATTAATGTCATGGGCAGCCACAAGGGATCATAGGAACTAGAGATTGGCTTTGAACTTTTAGTGATTCATATCACTAAAAAGTCTTTAAGAGAGATTTGGCATTACGGGGAAAAAGAACTAGGTAGGTTAATCCAGTATTTAATTGACAGATGGACTGGACAAAATCTGGAAGGTCATCCTCCAGGAATTGTTACACTTCTCTTTGCTGCAGTGGTCCTCCTTTCCTCTGCCCACAGATGTTCTCTGCGGTCTCCTTTGAAATATGATCATGAATTCTCATTCTAGATTATCCCTGTTGAGGGACATACTATTTTAGTATCTATTAATCTGGCATGAGTTTATCTTTAGCCTTTCTCCTTCCTTGTAGGCCTTTTAGAAAATGTTCATGCTCTGTGTGAAACATGAGCATCTATCTATTTTAAGTGTTTATAAGATTCCCAACTTTACGGTCCCAGAATGCCCCATTCATGATGCAAAGGCCACTTTGGCCACAGTAATGATTTGAAAGCATCTCACTCAACATCACTGCTGAGGTCCATACAGGGAAAAAGAGCCAGAAAATGTAATTTGAATTTCTGGTTACACACAAGAGACCCAGTTTTCAAAGAGTTGGCAAATAGCAATGAAGAACCAGAGTTTTATTCACATTTATATTACTCATGTGGCATCATGCAACCTTTGTGTCTCAGACTCCCTTTATCAGAAACTGTGGGTGCTGTGTAACAGCAAAAATGTGAATCCATGCTATTGCAGAATAGGGTGCTATGGGCCTTTCGTCCACAAAAGCCATAAGTGATTGGCTTGACTGGGGAGTTAAAACTTCAGCTGCACTATACTGCTCACTTTCCTTTCATTCTTTGCACCTTCATCTCTGCCAAAAACCATCCTTACTGTTGTTTTTGCACACCTTGGACAAAATTATTCTACTTGTTACACTTCATAACCTTCATTTTGTCTTTTCCTTCCCTTTGCCTAAAACCAACTCATTCAAATAATGCCAAATTCATCTTCCCATATCAACTTGCCATTTGCCCCACCTACGCCC